AGGGGGGAAATGTTATCCTGTGAAATCGAATTTAAAACAACCAGAAGAAGAGTAAGAGTGGCAGGAGATAAATGGTGCAGGATATCATAGTGAACATCATCAGGTCCAACTGATGAACTGCCAGACCAATGAAAGCAAGCTTAAGTTCCTCAAGTGTAAATGGGCGATTGTAACCATGGAGACAATCTGCTTGAAAGGAAAGTGTCGATCTCTCAGCCCGAGACTTGATTGCCAAGAAGGTGGGAGAAGAGACAGATGTGCTGGAAAGATGGGAAAATCACTCCCCAAGAATATCAGTGATGCTCTGTACATTATCAACTTCCTGGTCATTGGAGAGCAAGACCGAAAGGGGATTGGAAGCATACTTACCACTGACTTTATGAATCTTCTCCCAGACGACCTTAGAACTGGTGGTAGAAGAAATATTGGTGGTGAACTTAATCCAATATTCCTTCTGGCTTTGACATCTGACTAACTGAGCATGCTAGAAAGCATCATGGTTGGAAAGAGTGGAATACCTATGAATAATATCCCAGGCCCATTTCTGTCCCTTTCGTGCTTGCTGGCAGGCAGGAGTCCACCATGGACGAGGATACCATGGGAAACGTGTTGAGGTTTGAGGAATGGAACGAACAGCTACTTGAATAATACAGTCAGTTACGACCTCCACATAGTCATTAATAAATAGAAGACTAATGACAGCAGGATCGAGTTCCGAGAGAGCAGTGAAGGAGAACCAGTCAGCATGCTCTGACTTCCACCGTGGCACACGAATCAGATGGCAATGACAGCAGCCAAATTCTCGCAAAATAATGGGAAAATGATCACTGCCTCGTGGTTTACTGTCAACCTTCCAAGAAAATGAGAAAAAGTAAAGGGGGAACAAATGGATAGATCAATAGCAGTAAAAGACTGACTAAGTGCGTGAAAACAATTAAAAGAACCAGTATTGCAGAGGAAAAGGTTGTGATCCGAGGGCTGATGATCCACAGCATTCCCTCCCCAGAGGGGATTGTGTCCATTAACCCTATCTTTCCAGACATAATTTAATTCACATGTCGCAAGGTTTTAGGGGCTTACATTCAAAATTTTATTAACCTACTTTTTGTTTATGCTATACTAACTGGCATATCATAAATTCGTAGCTAATAATCTATATTTTAATAGCATATAAGTTTTAAGTTCTTAATTTTATAAAGCAATATTTAAAAAAATCTTGAATTTCCCCTAGTGTGAGAAAGGTGACACATTTTCTGTAGGCATCCCATCTTCTGTATTTTATTCACCACCCCTCCAATATCTACGATATTTAATGTAAATTACTCATTATAAAATCTTCATTGGTCAGAGAAACCATAATTTTTATAGCTTTCAATTACGGTTATCACAGACATCAAATAGAAAATCAGACTCTTCTTGCCACACCTACCTGTCACATCCTCTCTTTCAGGATTTGTTAATTGTTCTCTCTACCCTTTAATTCTATATTATATATTACCAGTAGAAAGCCAAAGTTTGTATCTATCAAGTGACGTGTTATATTATTCTTGTATTCTGAACAAAGAATTCTGAATTTCTATTTTAGTACAAGCTTCGTTCCCATGGGAAAGATAACAACTTGGATGCATTTGTAACGGCTCTTGTCTCATAGCTAGAAATCCAGAAAATTGTCTGCTTTTTTAATGTTATTGTTATATATTCTTTGGTTCATTATTTAATTAAATGAAAATTATTTTGTGCATTACTGACATTAGTATAATAAAAGTAGGGTTAAGTGTCATCCACAGTCGACAAGAAAAAAAAGAAGAAGATATGGGTAAGTACTTTATTTCTTGTTTTTGATGTTTATCCTTTATTAAAGGTAATTAAAATTGGAAATCTTTTTAGGTTATTTAAGGTTAGATTAGGTAAAAGAAATAATAATAAAAATATAATGAAAGTGTTTCACGAGACACGCATGCGAGCAAATCGTGGATAACGTAATTTGATAGTACAACGTGAGCTGCACGTTCCCCAAGTGATTTACAACTTATAATGGCGCGAATAGTAGGTACACACGGTTCAAAGGGCAATAAAAACAATAAAATTTAATTATAAATAGATGTATACTATTACAAGTTTAAAGTTACTTAGGATAAACTAATGTAGTATCTTGTTAGAATTTCAAGTCATTCTAGAAAGAAAAAGAGGGTAATTTCGATTTTTCTTTTGGTGGTTATGAAGTCGGTTAAATTGGCCAACCGTATACGGAGTTAGAGTAGAAACAATAATAGATAAAATATAAAGTTTTACTGAAAACAAACATTTGAAATGTATTTAGGAGGTGTTAAAGATTGGACAAATGAAAGTTGAGATTTTTGAGATGAAGAAAAGTAATTTTAATCTTTACATGAAAATCACTTTGCACCTGTAAAACTCAAAACAAATAGTGTTGAAATACTTAATATATTCACAGACAAATCTTTTTGTAGTTTATTTAAAAAACTTCACTAAAAATATGATTGTTTGTATGTGAAAAACTTATAATGTTTACTGAAAGACTGCCAAATTTCATGAAGATATACATACTATATTAAAAGTTAGCAGTATCAAATCTTTAAGGACTTTAAACGAGTGCAAAGAGGTCACGTGGTCAGTCTAATTGCCCCAGCCCGTATTGAGAGAGTTAATTAAAGTCTCCCAAGAAAAAGATGGCAACTGGTCAATAAGATCATCAAAATCGAATTGAATATACAGTGATGGTATGATCCCAAGAGACATGGAGGGCCAAAGCCTCTAAGGACGTATTGAATGACATGAATAAGGTGAGTATACACTGGTCAACCAGCAGTGCCACACCTCCATGAACTCTCCCATCACACAACCTGTCACTTCTGTACAAGGAAAAACTACCGAAAAGTGACAGTATCAGCAGGCTGGTGGAATTTTTCTTGCAAGAAGGAACACATGAGACGATAGGTATCAATCAAGGCTTTAATGTCATCCAAGTTACAATGAAAGCCTCAACAGATCCACTGTAACAAAGTGGCCATTTCTACTTCGAAGGAGGAGACTGGGTGGAGAACCCTTTTGTTTGCAACCACGACGTTTTTCTTTAGTAGCAAGAGGTCTATCGATCTCCTCCGAACCTGCACTAGAACTTTTGAGTAGTTTTCTATCGGTAGAGGAAGACTCCAGTGACCAAATAATGGTTCTGCACCTCAGGGCCAAAGGAGAAAGATTCAAGCAGTCACTAGATGCGATGGTGGGGACAGAGACAGTAGTAGACGTGGACTTGTCAACTCGAGCAACCCCGTTGGAGGCACGAAAAGATCTGTCTGCACTCCTACTGTAGAAGTGGAATGAAATGCAGCAGCATATATCTGAGATAGAACAGGGGACAACAACTTCCGAGCCTCGGGGTAAGAAATTTTGTTTACAGTCCTCAAGAACTGTACCTCTTTTTACTCCACCCACTTAGGGCAAGAACGAAAGTAAGAGGTGTGGGAACCCTCACGACTGACGGAATGAGGATCCAGAAGACACTCATACACATTGTAGCCTTTTCCACCACAACAAGAACAAGAAACTGAATAGGCTGCTTAATTCCATCTTTACGAGTGGAGAGATGTTAAGCAGCTGAAACTCCTTGGCTGGAAAAGCCTACAAGAATATCCGACCCGGGAATATCAAGTAAATACCTCTCAACAATAACTTCACAGGAGGAATTCAAAATAGTAGTTATATCCCCAGTGGACTTTGATTTGAGGAGTAGGTCGCTATGTTGTGTTGTAAATGTTTCGACCAAGATGTTGCCAGAATGTAACTTCTTGACTGACTTTGGAGAGCCAGTAAGTCCTTCCAATCCCTTTTGAATGAAAATGAGACATTTTCCCTAAAGATTTGTCCAACAGAGAATGCAAAATTCAAAAACGAGGCACGGGAACCGACTGGGTGGTGAGTTGAAACAGTTTTCCAGATGTGGTCACTTTCCAGTCAACGTTTTTTTATTTTTTTTGTGAGTGATCCATAAGAAATTGAGAATATTCAGTGCCCACTGACCTCACTTACCATGAAGTTCAACGAGGGAACCCACTACAACGTCAAACAATGACAGTGCAGCTATGCTGGGGTTTCAGGGACACTATACCCAAACACCAGCTTCAGACATAATGTCAACAATACCCATTGAGAACTTCCAACACTGGTACTTAGTTGACCCTAGCCCAACAAGACCAACTGACTGACCCTGGGGAAGCCACCCCATGGCCACCCATCTACAGGAATTCAAGGCCAAAATGATATTTCGAAGTACCATTGATATAAACTGACTCATCAAGAAACACTCCTCGACCAGGATCCTCTCCTCCCTTTCACGAGACGTCATGCACAGCAAACACGTGGGTGGATGTTTAGATCCCAGAGGAGGTAAACCAAAGAGACAGAATCTTCCCTGTTAGGTTCCCTCACCACGTACAGAAATCCACCTCGAGGGGCCTCTTTATAAGTCGTACAAATAACAAGCACATGGATGGATACTTAAATCTCAGAGAAGGAAACTGTATAGGAAGAGCCTTCTCTGGGAGGACCTCTCACCTTGTCAGGAATCCACATCGAGGAGTTTGGAAGTATTTGATAAAAAATCATGGTCTCAGAATCAAGTACAAAGTTATCAAACACATAACATTCTTGTAAACAAAATTACATGATAAACATATATTATAAATTACGTTTAAGAAGGTGTTCAGGTAAAAGATTATTAATGTGTTTGTGCAAGAAAAGTAAAATAAAAACAACTCAAATGCTAATAGTTGCCACACTGAAGACGTCTGGTTCCTGTCCAGTTTACTGCGTGACAGTTTACTTTTGCCTCTTATTTCACATTAACTTATATTTTTTGCTAAACCTTATAGCAAAAAATATTCATAAGTATTTAAAATTATTTCTTCTATTTTCAAAAGTGAAAGAAATAACAATAAAAATGTACCTATTGGGCTTATAAAATAACAATAAAAATGTACCTATTGGGCTTATAGATCCAGTATTATTAGTCGAATCCGCTGTCTGAAAGTAAGCTGGAGACAGTAACGGTGAAACTGGAGAAAGAGATCTTGGTCGGCCACTATGGGTAGGTGAATGGAGCCATGAAGTTGGATCTGGCGACAGCGTCACTGGTGAAGTGCAGTGTGGATGCGGCGAAATAGGGGTCCAAGGTTCACTGGATGTCGTCGATTGTTGGCTATCAGATCGATCTGAAATGGACAAGCGTGGCACATACGCTGCCCGTGTATCAACAGATGGAGTTCGGCTTACCACAGGTGATCGTCTTCTGAAGATAGGTAAGGAATAACTTGAACGAGAGGGCGAAACTTTCTCTTCTGATGCATGCACATATGGAAGCGATAAACGCGCGTGCTTGTCATCTACATCGTTAATGTCTGAAATGGAACTAGAACTAGACGCCATATGTCTAGCTGCTCTAGTAGAGTTCGCTTTCGTCACAGCTGATGCAGTTGCTATGAAGGCAGAAGCTGCATGAGAATGTTGAGGCTGCTCTCGAAAAATGCGAAAATTCTGAAAATTGAGAAATTAAATGTATTTTTAACTAAAATGTGTTTATTATTTCTATTATTTTAGAGCACAGAATAATATGAATATCGTGAAATTATTAGCAACATATTTATACAATCTTAATACACAAAACCAAACTACATCGTTAAGTTTGCTTTTCTTTAGAATATGCATATTCTGCGAAAAGAAATTTCTGCATGCATTTTATTGTTACTTACAATCACTAGAGATTAGAGAGTGATATGCTATACACATACACGTCTATGGAACGTTAACAAAAGCATAATTAAGTCTTTATTTCACATTTGAAAATTTGTAATTGATAATAAATCATTTCTCCAACGTGTTGGTGAATTAGTTAATTTAAAATATTCAGTGTTGAATATAATGCATTTTGAGAGATTTGTATTATGGCGGGTCATGGGATATAAAGTTGATTTCAAACGAACGATTTATATCTGTTTTTAAACACTCTTACTTCGGTAAGACAATCTACGTCCAAAAATACCATAGAAGCAAAACACAAAAATATGTCCTGTGTCCTAAAGTCAAACAAATATACTGGTGACTATCACTTGTCTAAAAAACATACTGTAATCTGTCACGTGTCCGAAAGACATACAGAAACATAGTAATGACCATCACGGTCCTAAAAATATACATAAACATACTGATGACTGTCACATGCTCACTAGACATACCTCTCAATGATTAAATATCAGAAGACACATTTCCACGAATTATACATAAATATACTGTTTAAATCATCTATGATGGCAATGGCACGCTAATGATTACCCAATGTAAATCATCTATGATGGCAATGGCACGCTAATGATTACCCAATATTAATCATCTATGATGGCAATGGCACGCTAATGACTGCTCAATATAAATGATCTATGATGGCAATGGCACGCTAATGATTACTCAATATAAATGATCTATGATGGCAATTGCACTACTCAATATAAATCATCTATAATGGCAATGGCACGCTAATGATTACTCAATATAAATCATCTATGATGGCAACGGCACGCTAATGATTACTCAATACAATGTTGTCACCCTTAAGTTTCCAGTTCTTTGCTTTTTCTATATTATCAATAGCAATTTGACTTTGAATAATCTGTCTTCTAATGATTACCATTTTGTCTGCAATGAAATAATTAACTAAAATTATATATATAAAAAGATACATCGAAGATATCCTAATGTAGGTAGTAAAAAGTGTTTTAACAATCTAATATGATCATACTTTTCTCACTTTTTGTCATGAATGTGACCCGTCCCTGTAAAAAGTCCCCCCTTTGTGTCAGAGGTAAGTTTATGGCTTACAACGCTAAAATGGGTGGTTCGATTCCCCGTTTTGGACAAAGCGCAGATAGCCCATTATGTAGTTTTGGGCCAAAAAGCAATACCAGACGACCATCGTATCATCTTCATTAAACAATAATTTATACATTTTATAATTACAAAATCTTCTCCTGAGAAGGCAATCCTAATAATAAAGATGCACACACTGACTTCAACAAGACTAAAGCATATTTTGTACATATTTGAAAACATAAAATAACCAAAAGTTCTCAAAATGCATATAAACACATCTTAGGCAGTCTGGAGGACTTTGTGTTATTTAGTATTAAAGTCCTCCAGACTGCCTAAGATGTGTTTATACACTTTGTGTTATTTAGTATTAAAGTCCTCCAGACTGCCTAAGATGTGTTTGTACACTTTGTGTTATTTAGTATTAAAGTCCTCCAGACTACATAAGATGTGTTATACACTTTTGTTATTTAGTATTAAAGTCCTCGAGACTGCCTAAGATGTGTTTGTAAACTTTGTGTTATTTAGTATTAAAGTCCTCGAGACTGCCTAAGATGTGTTTGTAAACTTTGTGTTATTTAGTATTAGAGTGTAATATGAAGCTCGTCAATACAACTTTATGATTTTGCAAGGGAGTTTAGAGACGGTGAAATTAAAATGTTAGTAACAAGCAGTAGCTGACACCATATACATCTATATCACCCAAACAAAGGTTAACTGTTTTATCATTAATGATTATTTTAGCATTTTTTAATATTCCATTCACATATAACTGGATTCTTTCAAAATATAAAAATTGATCCCTAGTTTCAACTAAAGTCATTAAACACTTACCACAGGACAGCATTGTTCTAACAATTTTACTGAAGATTTTTTTCTTTTACACATTATTCTTAATTTGTCCATTGCGACTCGAAATTTAGAAGTGTGTAAACATGAGTATTTCAGGTCTGTCATTTTAATCCCACATGTTGCTGCCCAGTAAGATTCTCGTTAATACCAGAACTCATAAGCTGGGTTGAACGTCCAGAGACAAAATATTCGACGAAACGCTATTTATATATGCAGTATAATACTATAAACCGTAACTATTGTTCTAACGATCTGAAGACTAGGACCTAATTTTTTTTTGGGGGGGGGATTTAAAAGTTTTTATCGACATATTTCCCAAAGAATTTAATAAATGATATATTATTTCAAATGTGTAATAAAGGACTTTTTAAATGACTATTATTATGTAGGAAAAAATTAAGAATAAAATGGAATATCCTTTGAATAGAATCTGGGGCAATTTAAAAACCCTATTTTACCCGCAAAACGTATTCAGAACATACTTACAAGAAGATAAATGTGACGGTTAAAGTCTCTCGAGATTCATATGTGTAGAATAAAATGGAATATCCTTTGAATAGAATCTGGGGCAATTTAAAAACCCTATTTTACCCATAAAACGTATTCAGAACATACTTACAAGAAGATAAATGTGACGGTTAAAGTCTCTCGAGATTCATATGTGTAGATGGCCCCCCAGTGGCACAGCGGTGACTTACAACGCTAGAATCCAGGTTTTGATACCCGTGGCGGGCAGAGCACAGATAGCCCATGTGTTGCTTTGTGCTTAACTTCAAACAAACAAATGTTTAGATGCGCGAAACGATTGGTTCAACGAATATTTAATATTTGAAAATCTTAGGTAACAAAAATAAATGCATTATTCAATATTTTGATATCGTTTGCTTAACGGTATTAAGCATTAAAATCACACTAAGAATATAATTGTATTAACTTATAAACAACAATTTTGGTGAAAATAAATAAAGACCTCTAGTATCAGGTAACAAACTAATTTTTTAGCGATGTTAGTTTCCAAAAAAAAAAGATCACTTTATTCAAAGCATGAGATATGTATTACTTATTACTCTAACAATAATTCTTGCTCTTCGATGCTTCTCACAAAAAAGAAAATGACAATGAATACATAGCTAAAATTTGTGATCAAAATGTCGTGAATTTCACTTTAAAACTGCTGAAAAGTGACATATTTTTTAATGTATTGTCTTAATTGATAACAAAATTGTCATATTGATGATAATATGCTCCAAAGTTGTGCTTTAACACAGAATGTATAGGGGAAACGACATTATTTATAACGGTTCCTTGTAGAGATTAGAGGTAGTGTTTTCAGGGTGGATTATGCACAGGAGTACGTTAGTTTTGTTTGTTTCAATTCTTTGAAGACGCAAAACACGAAAAAGCTAAATATATATTCCTTAGACATGCTGTTTTATAAATTGTTTTTTGTTGTTTTTTATTTAAATATTTGTGTTGTTGGCCAGAAGAAAATCTCACATTACGTAGTGATCAGAACCTTCTTAAGAGTTTAGGAAACGATGTGGTCAGTACAGAATCACTAGTCATACTAAAGTATGGGATCGATTAATCATTGAATTAACAGATTTGTTAGATAGTTTGTCTATTATTATCAGGATATTGGTCAGTTATTTTGTTTTGTAAGTATTGATTTTGTGTTTCATCAAAGTATCAGAGATAAATGCACCGTGCCAACGAGAAAAGTAGCAAGTAAATAAAATTGTTGTTTTAGCATCTACTGATAAACATAGGCCTATCACCGAATATTATTAAAGTTATTTCGTAGAACTTGAAGTTCAAGAAACAAAATGCTTTCGTTATCACTAATAGGGCTGGACTTTGCATTATGCTTTAACCAAATAATTCAAATAAACCTTAAAAATCGTAAAAAGCATTAAAACTGGTATCAGAAGTGATTTTTATTTCGATAAAAATGAAACCGAATCTAGGCTGAACTTTAAGATGGCGATGCGTACTCGAAATGAGATTAAAACTTTCCTGAAAATGATGTAACAGTGGAAATACAACCAAGAAGATCACGAAGAAAGAAATAGTAATTTAAGAGAGTAATTATAAGAACGAGACATAAGATTTACAGAAGGATTATGAACTAAAGTCAAATTACTTGAAGATAAGATCGAAAACGTCATAGCAAACCAAGAGACTGAAGTTCAAACAATCGTAGGAGATATACAGAAGGATCATATGAGATATACAGAAGGATTATAACAACAAGATTAAAAAGTAAAGATAATAATTACAAGATTAAAAAATAAAGATAATAATTACAAGATTTAAGAAGTCGTCGGAAACATATAAAAGGGAACCAGTAAAGTAAAAAAAAGACATCTTTGTCTGGATAGAACATCAAGAAATTGTACCGGTAAAGGCAAAAATCAAAGTAACACATCTCTTTATGCATCAGCTCAAGAAGTCCAACCTAAAACATTATTAACTATGCCATATTGAATAATAGATTCCATCTAGTTTATATCTGTTACTACTAGTGTTGTACTGCCTGTTCCTGCAAGACCTTACTGGACTACTCTAGATACACCATTAAGTTATGAAGTTACAGAATTTAGCAGACCAACTCAACAACACCACCTAATCCAGAAACCAATATATAATGATGGAAATGAACAATGGAAAGTATATCAGGCACAGTTTTAAACAATTTCAAAGTGAATGTATGATGTAGTGAACAAAAACTTAATCTTGATGTACATTTAAAAGGACCAACCTTAAAATACTAAACAATTTTCCAATAACAACTACCAGGCATTAGTGGCTGCCTTCTCAAA